AGCAAATTCAGCCCAAGGGAGCAGGTCAGCCCAATCATTCTGATGGTGGGACACAAAACAGCGAAGATATTGCTCTAGGGACTGGTTGGCACATTCAGCAGCTCCATTAGACTGGGGGTGGTAGGCAGGGGAAAAGGTATTTACTGTGAGTATTATTGCTGTGGATACTATGACATCATGCAACTGTTGCATTTGAATGTGTGATCTCTATATAAACTGTGTATGTCCAGCTATGTGTAACACTTTGAGAAAGCCTTGTTGAATGTGAAATGCATCAGTGTTATTGCGTATTATATTGTTTTACCTTTATATCTTATTTAAAGAGTTAATAAAGTAGTTTCATTTTATAAAACCTCTGGACCTACCATGTTTCTTTCCTTGGATCTGGACTACATTTTCCTTTGGTGGGGAACATACCACCTGATCCCTCTGGACTAAGCAAAACTGATATTTTTCTTCACGGCAGTGAGCAAGAATTTTTGACTACACAGGCGTAGATTAATTTTGCATTAATTTTTGTCTGTCCCACTTCTTCAGGGCCCTTTGTGTATCTCTTCCCTCTTAAGCCATATAGACACAGATATATAGCAACACACACATACAGGCACACAGTCACAGAAATATGCAGGCACAATCAAACAAACACAGTCATACAGGCACACATTCATACAATCAACACGTACAGGTACACTGTCATACAAACACTGACATACAGTCATACAGACACACACACACACACACACACACACACACACACACACACAGACATGCAGACTCTATCATATAGAGAAATAAAGACACAGTCATACAGAGATATACAAACACAGACATACAGTACAAGGCATCCAGATACATACAGACATGTAGAGACCTGCATACACAGGCATGCAGGGACATATATACGCAGACATAGTTACACAAAGATATACAGAACAAGGAATACAGAGACATATGGATACGGTCATACAGAAACATACGGACACAGTCATATAGAGACATACAGACACAGGCATACATACACAGTTATACACAGACATATAGTCATACAGAGACATACAGACACAGGTATACAGATCAGGGGCAGATCCAGAACCTAATCTTGGGAGGGGGGTTGGTAGTGAGTTGTAGTGGGGTGAAAGGGCTGTAATTGAGGAGTTATGGGCTGTAGTAGGAGGACAGGGGCTGTAGTTGAGAGTTATGGGCTGTAATTGGGGACTTAGGAAATGTAGTGGGGGATAGGGCCCGTTGTAGGGGGGTTAGGTATTGAAGTAGGTCGATGGCTGCAAGTGGGGACATGGGCTGTAGTGTGGGGGATATGGGCAGCAATTGGGGGAGACGGGCTGTAGTGAGGTTCAAGGACTGTAGTAAGGGAATGGGGGCTATAGTAGAGTTATGGGGTGTAAAATTGGGTTATCTGTCATATCTGTCTCTTGCTCTTCTAAGAGCCACACTTCACTTTTACCTCCAGTTATGCTACTTTTCCACCTTGTTTGGTGGCAGTCACACTTGCTGCCCTGTTGTGTATTTGTACCCCACTCAGGGACGGTGCAAGGATTTTTGGAGACACAGGCAAAGATGATTTTGGTGCCCCCCCTCACAAACGCATCTTCACCTGTGTGCCTCTTGTTTCTTATTCCCCCTTTTTTTTAAATGTCTTAAACCCCCTTTAGTATATCTTATCCCCTATTTTCACCATTGTGTGTCTTACACCTCACTTGTGTATCTCTTACAATTCCCCTTTGTGTGTTTTACTCCCCTGAGACCCTTAATGTCTCCTTCTCTTCCAGCCCCTTTGTCTTTTATTCTTACCAGCTTCATTGTGTGTTTCTCTTTCACCACCAGCCCGTCTATCTCCCCTCAGCCCCTCTGTGTCTCTTTTTCCTCTTCTCCAGCCCCTCTGTGTCTCTTTCATCCCAGCCCCTTTGTATTTCCGACCTCAGGCCCTTCTCTGTGTCGCTTTCATCCCCAGCCCCTCTGTGAACTTTCTCACCCCCAAGCCCATCTGTGTGTCTTTCTCCCCCCTCACGTCCCTCTGTTTGTCTTTCTCCCCACTCAGGCCCCACTCTGTGCTACTCCATGTCCCTTAGTGTTCCTCTCTCCTCCCCTCCATGTCCCTTAGTGTTCCTCTCCCCTCCCTTCCCTGTCACTTAGTGTTCCTCTCCCCTTCCTTCCCTGTCCCTTCGTGTCCCTCTCCCCTCCCTCCCCTGTCCCAAAGTGTTCTTTCCTCCCCCCCCCCTGTCCCATAGTGTTCTTTCCTCCCCCCTCCCCTGTCCCATAGTGTTCTTTTCTCCCCCCTCCCCTGTCCATTAGTGCCCCCTCCCTCCCTTAGTGTTCCTCTCCCTTCTCTTTTAGTGGCCCACCCTACCCCAGTGTTGCTTTTCCCTTCTCTCCCCGTACCTCAGTGCTCTCCTTAATGTTTCTCTCCCCCCCAGTGTTCCACTGTCCTCCCTCTTTTTTGTGTTCTTTTCTCCTCTGTCCAATAGTGTTATTCCCCCCCATCCCATAGTGTTATTTTCTCCACTCCCTCCCCTGTCCCATAGTGTTCTTTTCTCCCTCCTCCCCTGCTACATAGTGTTCTCCCCCCCTTTCCATAGTGTTCTTCGCCCCCCTTCCTCTATTCCATAGTGTTCTTCTACCCTCCCCTGTCCCATATTGTTCTTTCCTCCCCCTATATGGTTCTTTCCTCCCCTATCCCCTGTTCTATAGTGTTCTTCCCCCCTCTACTGTGTCCCATAGTGTTCTTTCTCCCCTCTCTCCCCTGTCCCATAGTGTTCTTTCTCCCCCCTCCCTGTCCCATAAAGTTCTTTCTCCCTCCCCTGTCCCATAGTGTTCTCCCCCCGCCCCCCGTCCCATAGTGTTCTTTCTCCCTGTACCCGGCTAGACTGACAGGAAGTTCGGCTGGCACAGCTCACACATGGCCGGCTGACAGCTGTGCAGTGGTAGCTAAAGCATGAAGACGTCTAGCGTCGTCTCACAGAGTTAATTTCTATGAAAGTGCATGGAGCAGGAGCAGGGACATTGCACCTAGACCACTTTAATGAGATGAAGTGATCTGGGTGCCTATAGTGTCCCTTTAAAACACGTATACAAAATGTGAACATGTGCTTGTGCCATGAAATCATAGGAACAAGTCTAGCACTGGGTGATTTCTGCAGAAATAGTTTGCATCCATCCCTGCACTGAATTACAGGTAACTTGATAGTGCCGGTCTGTTCATTGTTCTGGTGTAATTTGCTTGGTAATGTCTATGCTTTGTGATAATGTGTCAATATTTACACAATGATATAATATAATTTCCATGTTGAAGGAAAATAATCTATTACGCCAGCACACACTGAAATCTTTTTTTTTTTTTTAAAGTTTTTATTCCTAATTATAAGGTCATTACAAGTGAGGTAAATCAATACATAGTATAAAAGTGTTACATTCTGAGACAATGACATAGGCTTATTTTCGGCATAGTAGCAGTTGCAAATCAGTATTATTATTATTAATGCCATTTATATAGCACCAACAGATTACGCAGCGCTTTACAATATTATGAGAGATGGATTTAACACTTAATAGGACAATTTCAAGACAACTTACAGGAACGACAGGTTGAAGAGGGCCCTGCTTACATTCTATAGGAGGCGGGGTGTAAAACACAATAGGACAGGAATTCACAATCAAATAAGGTGGGAGTGAGGCAGAGCTGGAGGAAAGAGTAGAGTGCTGCCCTTTAGGAGAGAGCAAGAGACAGGTATGTAATGCAGAGGTTACTCTGGGAGGCCATAAGCTTTCCTAAAGACATGTGTTTTAAGGGACTTCTTAAACAATGCAAAACTAGGGGAGAGTATGATTGCGGGAGGCAGGCTATTCCATGGGAAGGGAGCTGCCCGCGAGAAGTCCTGCAAACGTGAGTTGGCCATACGGTGCGAACAACGGACAGGAGAAGGTCACGGGCAGAGCGGAGAGACCGAGAAGGGACATACCTATGGATCTGTGTTGAGATATAAGAGGGACTAGAATTGTTCAGTGCTTTATAGGTGTGAATTAGTAACTTGAATTGTAAGGACTGGCAGAGGGGAGAGGTGTGAAAGAACCGACTAGAGAGGAAAATCAGTCTAGAGACAGCATTCATTACGGACTGTAGCGGAGCAGTACGGTTTTTGGGAAGACCAATCAGGAGAGGGTTACAATAATCCATGCGGGAAATTACTAGAGCATAGACAAGCTCCTTACATCTTGTGTAAGAAAGGGGCGGATGCGAGCTATGTTTTTAAGATGGAATCTACAGGATTTGGCAACATACTGGATGTGAGGCTCAAAGGTGAGGCCAGAATCAAGTATGATGCCAAGACAGCGCGCTTGCAAGGATGGACTTATGTTAATACCACTAACTTGAAGGGAGAATGAAAGAGGAGGATCAGTGTTAGGAGGAGGAAAGACAAGGAGCTCAGTTTTAGAGAGATTGAGTTTTTAGAAAACGGGAGGACATCCAGTCAGAAATGGAAGAAAGGCAAGCAGTGACACATTGCAGGACGGCATGAGAGAGATGTGGGGAGGAGAGATATATCTGGGTGTCATCAGCGTACAGGTGGTAGTGGAATCCATAAGAGGTAATAAGTTTGCCAATAGAGGCAGTATAAAGAGAAAATACAGGGAGTGCAGAATTATTAGGCAAATGAGTATTTTGACCACATCATCCTCTTTATGCATGTTGTCTTACTCCAAGCTGTATAGGCTCGAAAGCCTACTACCAATTAAGCATATTAGGTGATGTGCATCTCTGTAATGATAAGGGGTGTGGTCTAATGACATCAACACCCTATATCAGGTGTGCATAATTATTAGGCAACTTCCTTTCCTTTGGCAAAATGGGTCAAAAGAAGGACTTGACGGGCTCAGAAAAGTCAAAAATAGTGAGATATCTTGCAGAGGGATGCAGCACTCTTAAAATTGCAAAGCTTCTGAAGCGTGATCATCGAACAATCAAGCGTTTCATTCAAAATAGTCAACAGGGTCGCAAAAAGCGTGTGGAAAAACCAAGGCGCAAAATAACTGCCCATGAACTGAGAAAAGTCAAGCGTGCAGCTGCCACGATGCCACTTGCCACCAGTTTAGCCATATTTCAGAGCTGCAACATCACTGGAGTGCCCAAAAGCACAAGGTGTGCAATACTCAGAGACATGGCCAAGGTAAGAAAGGCTGAAAGACGACCACCACTGAACAAGACACACAAGCTGAAACGTCAAGACTGAGCCAAGAAATATCTCAAGACTGATTTTTCTAAGGTTTTATGGACTGATGAAATGAGAGTGAGTCTTGATGGGCCAGATGGATGGACCCGTGGCTGGATTGGTAAAGGGCAGAGAGCTCCAGTCCGACTCAGACGCCAGCGAGGTGGAGGTGGAGTACTGGTTTGGGCTGGTATCATCAAAGATGAGCTTGTGGGGCCTTTTCGGGTTGAGGATGGAGTCAAGCTCAACTCCCAGTCCTACTGCCAGTTCCTGAAGACACCTTCTTCAAGCAGTGGTACAGGAAGAAGTCTGCATCCTTCAAGAAAAACATGATTTTCATGCAGGACAATGCTCCATCACACGCGTCCAAGTACTCCACAGCGTGGCTGGCAAGAAATGGTATAAAAGAAGAAAATCTAATGACATGGCCTCCTTGTTCACCTGATCTGAACCCCATTGAGAACCTGTGGTCCATCATCAAATGTGAGATTTATAAGGAGGGAAAACAGTACACCTCTCTGAACAGTGTCTGGGAGGCTGTGGTTGCTGCTGCATGCAATGTTGATGGTGAAGAGATCAAAACACTGACAGAATCCATGGATGGCAGGCTTTTGAGTGTCCTTGCAAAGAAAGGTGGCTATATTGGTCACTGATTTGTGTTTGTTTTGTTTTTGAATGTCAGAAATGTATATTTGTGAATGTTGAGATGTTATATTGGTTTCACTGGTAATAATAAATAATTGAAATGGGTATATATTTGTTTTTTGTTAAGTTGCCTAATAATTATGCACAGTAATAGTCACCTGCACACACAGATATCCCCCTAACATAGCTATAACTAAAAACAAACTAAAAACTACTTCCAAAAATATTCAGCTTTGATATTAATTAGTTTTTTGGGTTCATTGAGAACATGGTTGTTGTTCAATAATAAAATTAATCCTCAAAAATACAACTTGCCTAATAATTCTGCACTCCCTGTAGAAGGGGACCAAGGACAGAGCCTTGGGGGACTCCAACAGAGACAGGACGAGTGGAGGAGGTTGTGACAGACCCTTCGTCAATCGATGCTCCTAGTGCTTACCAAGGACCATCAGCAACGCACCAGACACCATAAGCATCGCAGATCCCATGAACCGCCGCAGCTTGGCTGGGAACTTGCCGTCCTCTACCCACCCTGGACCTACGACAAGGCTCCAGGTTCCAGTGGGTGAACCTCTCCTCCAAGAGAGAGCAGCAGGAACAGCAGGAACAAGCACTTAAAATAGCTTAGTGATTATAGCCCAGGGTAGTACACAGAGTATAGCAATCCCCCAGTGTAGATGCAGCCTTTAACCCCACACATAGACGAGGCTCTATGTCGAGGGTAAAACAGGAACTCAGCAGATCTGAGGGTTTTACAGGACACAAAGTCACAAAGCCAATCAGAACAGTATTGCACAGTTAGACACTCCCAGATAATGTACACAGACCCTCCCCTCTGCCTGTGATACAATTAACAAAGACAATGGACTAATTCAATTAACTCTAAGCAGAAAAAAACATACATTTTTACAAACCCCAAAAAGTACCCCAAAATACACCATATCCCCACAAAGTGGGGTAGCAGTGTCAGAGAGGGAGAGACATTTTTCTGTTAAGGCTAGTAAATCTACTGAACGAGAGATGAAGAGGTCGTGGACAGCAGTGGATTTTGTAATATTGCAAACAGAGCGTGCATTCCAGAGGGCAGTATTGAAGGAGGTTTTAGAGGAAGAGTAACATGAGATGGGTATGAGATTGGTGTGGTTCCTTGAGTTAGCATGTGGTGAGTTTGCTGAAATGGGACCGGGGTTTGGAGAGACATCACCAGCTGCTAGGAGCAGAAGGATAGAAAGAAAATGAAGGTGGGAGTAGATTTGAACGTTTTGTGATTGGGAATGTATACAGAGGATTTGGGAAGAGTTGGTGGAGATAGGCTGGAAAGGTATATGTAGAGTGCATGGGATGAATAGAGAGGGGAGGGGAGTAAAGTGGAAGTAATGAAGATGGTGTTGCCAGGGACAGGTGAGCAGAAGGATAGGGATATTTTAGTAATTAGAGAAGTTAGTATGAAAGCGAAAAATAGAAGGGAGAACATTATTTAGAGAAAATGTGTTTTGTTATAAAGATATGAACATTATACATATGTACATATATAATCATAGACATATATATACACACATATGTATGTATACACAAGTTAATGCGTCAGTGACATATGCGAGTGGATACATCCATGTTCACAAGGTATGCATTTATATACACTAAGATATCATGGGATTCAGGCTATGTAGGCTGGAGTAGAGTGCTTCCCCAACCTGGTTTGTCACTAAGGTGGTTTAACTCCCGAGCGTTGTGTGTTGGTGGGAGTGGTCTGGGGAGTATGATCAGTGGAGTGTAAGAGAGTGTTATAACCCATCTAGGATTTGAGCAGGCGTAACATATGCTTATTTACTTTAGGAGTCTATCTGGGGGTCCATACACCCTGCCTCGTACTATCCTGGATTGTATTGGAGTAGTGCGATCTTCACCACACCTCTGTTTCTCCTTGTGGCGATTGGTAGGCCAAAGTAGCATGTACCGTGGGTGCGAGTAAACAAGCAGTAAGGTTTCATCAGGTGTGAGCCCCAGGGGTTTCAAAGCTCTGGGAGTACAGTGGTAGGTGTTGGTCCAAGACTGGCAGCAGAGATGACTTCTCTATGTCCTAATCTGCTTGGCTCCTGTACAGGTTCGCTCCTTGTGGAGTCATGCAGGATGGTGAGTGTAGTTTGAGTGGTAGGGGAGTTTATACTGGGTGTAACGGAACTCCCCGTACTCCATTGATGGACGCTTAATAGCTTGCGCCAAGGACCACAAGCACTGCACCGGACACCACAACCACAGCAGACTCCACAACCGCCGTAGCTTAACTGGAGTCTCGCCGTCTTCCTTCCACCCTGGATCAGCTTCTGTCCTCCAGGACCGTGTGGTGAAGACCTCTCCTCCAGGAGAGCGTATCAGGAACAAGCTCTAAAAAGAGCTAAGTGGTTAGAGCTCAGGGGAGTATGCAG